TTCAAACTTTAGCTATTGTGAACATACTTTTGTAGGTACATAGATTAAATATACGAACCCCAAAAATTGCATAATATGACCTCTTTAAGACATTCATACTGATTCTGCAACGCCATAATACGAGTTCCCCAGTCTGTGCACTCACATTGCGTTACAGAGACGCGAAAGCTCTACACACACACAGCGCTGTTCTCCCTCGCTGGCTCAGCTGATCCAGTTTCACACCTGTATATTATACATCTAATTACACACTGCTCGCAGTCTTTCTGCTTTCCGTCCAAACTCTCTATGACATAAACCAGTTAAACACACAAAAGCCAATTTCAATACTACCACCTCCACAATCTTAATGTGTAATTTAATACTTTTTACATGAGGACTCATTAAACCAGGCCCCAAGAGTAAATGCAAACGTCTTAGACAAGACTACAACCACCATAAGAAAAGGGAATGACTCATGCCTCAGTCTGCCTCAAGTGGTCACACCGGGATCTGCAGCAGCCTCAGCTGATCACTCAATCAATCAATCAATCAATTTTTATTTGTGTAGCATCAACTCATAACAAGTGTTAGCTCGAGACACTTTACAAAAAGCAGGTAAATTACCTTACTGTTTGTCTTTTAACATTACAAAAGAGCAGGTAAAAAGACCTTACTCATTGTTATGTTACAAAAAGCAGGTGAAAGACCTTACTTATTGCTATATTACAAATCACTGTGTGATGCTAATTATCTAGTGTTAGCATGCTAACTGAAGTAGGTAAATCTGCATTTTCTTTTGATGATCGGAGCTCTTCCCTTTCTTGCAGATTTTAGGAATTTCATTTCTAGCCACCTTGTAGTGTTTGTAGTTGTTGTTAGTTTGCTTATCTTACTGTACTTGTAATTTTGATGCCGTTGTAAATTAGGGAAACCTCGAAGTCCTTTCGTGAATGTATAAAAGTTTGAATTGACTTGTCAGACTCCTGCATGTTAGCATTGTCATTATAACAATGCCAGTCAGTCTTTGACTGACGAGGTGTCGAGATGCTGCTGTGGTATGTAAACACTGTTCACCGTTGGCGGAGTTTATGATCGTAAAGTGCCGTCCTTTCTATCAACCGAGAGAGATAACAGCGACCTTGCTGGTTGCTGTGTATATTCCCCCCAACACCAACAACGTTGATATAATTGACGCACTTTGGGAACTTTACAACGCCATCGGTGAGCAACAGACAGCCCACCAAGACGGATTTTTCATCATCGCTGGGGATTTTAACCATGCAAATCTCAAGACGGTTTTACCCCACTTCCACCAACACATGACCTGTCCCACAAGAGAAGGTAACATTCTGGACATGATTTACACATCAGTTAAAGGTGCTTACAAAGCTTCACCCCTCCCCCACATCGGCCACTCTGACCATATCAGTGTAATGCTAATGCCAGTTTACAGACCCAGGGTTAAAGTCACCAAACCAGTTCTGAAGCAGGTATGTGTGTGGCCAGAGGGGGCCTCTGCTGCACTACAAGACTGCTTTGATACCACAGACTGGGAGATGTTAGAGCAGGCAGCCACCTACAACAACCACACAGACATTGAGGAGTATTCTGACACTGTTACCTCCTACATTAGCAAATGCATTGCTGATGTCACCACCACCAGAACCATCACCACCCGGGCTAACCAGAAGCCATGGCTGACAGGAGAGGTACGCGGGCTACTGAGGGCCAGGAACACCGCCTTCAGAGCTGGGGACGCAGCCTGCCTGAGAACAGCGAGGGCCAACCTGTCCCGTGGCATCAGGGAAGCTAAACGCAGCTACACACTAAAAATAACCGGACACTTCAAGGACAGCAGAGACGCACGGAGCCTGTGGCGTGGTATCCAGACCATCACGGACTACAAACCCAAGCCACAGACCTGTGACAGCAACACCTCTCTGCTGAACGACCTCAACAGCTTCTTTGCCAGGTTTGAAGCACACAACAGCACGCCCCCACAGAAGACCACCCCCCCTTCCCCACGACCAGACCCTGTGCCTGACTGCAGACAGCGTCAAGAGAACCTTCTCCAAGATCAGCACCCGCAAGGCTGCAGGTCCAGACAACATTCCTGGCCGTGTGCTGAAGGACTGTGCAGAGGAGCTCAAAGATGTCTTCACAGACATTTTCAACGCTTCTCTGAGTCAGGCTGTTGTTCCGTCGTGCTTCAAGGCCACCACCATCATACCCGTTCCAAAGAAGCCCTCACCATCCACTTTCAATGACTATTGACCCGTTACACTGACCCCCTTCGCCATGAGGTGCTTTGAAAGGTTAGTCATGGCCCACATCAAATCCACCCTCCCTGCCACCCTGGACCCCTACCAGTTTGCATACCGAGGTAACAGATCCACTGAGGATGCCATCTGTTCTGCTCTTCACCCAGCCATCACCCACCTGGACACCAAAAACTCATACGTCAGAATGCTGTTCATAGACTTCAGTTCAGCATTCAGCACCATCATCCCTCAGCAGCTGATCGGCAAACTGGACCAGCTGGGGCTCAGCACTTCCCTGTGCAACTGGCTGCTGGACTTCCTCAGCGAGAGGCCTCAAACAGTGCGGGTCAGCGGCAGCACATCAAAAACCACCGTCATGAGCACGGGGGCCCCCCAAGGTTGTGTGCTCAGCCCCCTGCTCTTCACGCTGCTGACCCACGACTGCGCTCCATCCTTCAGCAGCAACCACATTGTGAAGTTCGTCTCATCTCCAACAACGATGAGACGCACTACAGGATGGAGGTCAGCCAACTGGCCACGTGGTGCAGAGACAACAACCTCTTCCTGAACGTCGACAAGACCAAGGAGGTTGTTGTCGACTTCCGGAGAGTCCCCACTCCTAAACCCCCACTGACCATCGACGGTGCTGCTGTGGAGAGAGTGAGCAGCACCAAGTTCCTGGGGGTTCACATCAGTGAGGATCTCTCCTGGACAACCAACACCACATCACTGGCCAAGAAGTCCCAGCAGCGCCTCTACTTCCTCCGCAAGCTGAAGGGAGCACGAGCCCCCCCATCCATCATGTGCTCCTTCTCCAGAGGCACCATCGAGAGCATCCTGACCAGCTGCATCACTGTGTGGCTTGGGAGCTGCACTGCTGCCAACCGCAAGACCCTGCAGTGCACAGTGAAGGCTGCTGAACGGATTATCGGTGTCCCACTCCCCTCTCTTCTGGACCTCTACGGTACCCGCCTCACCCGCAAAGCAACCAGCATTGTGCGTGACCCCACCCACCCCTCACACAGCCTCTTCAGCCTCCTGCCATCAGGGAGACGGTACCGCAGCCTGCGGGCCGGCTCCACCAGACTGGGAAACAGCTTCTTCCACCAAGCTGTCAGGAAGCTTAACTCTCTCCCCTCTCTTCCTTCCCTCCCCTCTGCCCCCACAAACACTGGACGTTGAAACCCCCTCCCGTTTGCCACCAAGAACTCTGGACTAATAACTCTGAAGCTAACTATTCAAAAGTACACTCAGTTTACTGCACATTGCACAAGTTTCCAGAACTCTGGACTAATAACTCTGAAGCTAACTATTCAAAAGTAAACTCAGTTTACTGCACATTGCACATATTGCACAAGTTTACCTTTTCTTTAAATTTTATTTTATTTACCATTTTGTACCTTTTGCACAATTTAGAATTTATTACTGTAAATATTATTTATCTTATTTTTACCTCATTTTATTTTATCTATTTTACCTTATCTTATTTTACCTTATTTTGGTTGTATTGCACCGCGGGACGGAGACAAACGCAATTTTGATTCCACTGTAAATCTGGCATATTTTGAAATTTACAATAAAGTTGACTTTGACTTTGACTTTGATAAATTTATTGGCATGCGTATGTATGCATTTGCATTTTAACCAGCTGTTTGACTCGTCTGTTTTAACCCGTATGTCATGACTCGTCTGTTTAAACTTGTACGTGGAGCCTCACCTGTTTTAACTCGCCTCTTTCTACAGGTCTGTTTTAACTCACCTGTTTCTATACGTCTGTTTTAACTCGCCTGTTTCTACAGGTCTGTTTGAACTTGTGTGTTTTAACTCGTCTGTTTTGACTTGTCTCTTTTGACTCGTCTGTTTTAACCCACCGGTTTTGACTGGCTTGTTTTAACTCGTCTATTTTGACTGGCTTGTTTTAACTCGTCTATTTTGACTCATTTGATTTGACTCAACGGTTTTGACTCGTCTGTTTAAACTCTGTTGTTTAAACTTGTCTGTTTTTGACTTATCTGTTTTTACTCGTCTGTTGTGATTCGTCTTTTTTGACTCACTTGTTTTAAATCGTCTGTTTTGACTCGTCTGTTTTAACTTGTCTGTTTTTGACTCGTCTGTTTTGACTCGTTTGTTTTGACTTGTCTGTATGAACCTGTATGTTGTGACTCGTCTGTTTTAACGCCTCTGTTTTGACTCGTTTGTTTTAACTTGTCTTTTTTAACTCGCCTGTTTTGACTTGTTTGTTTTAACTCGTCTGTTGTGACTTGTCTGTTTTAACTAGTCTGTTTTGACTCGTCTGTTTTAACTTGTATGTGGAGCCTCGCCTGTTTCCTGCAGCTCTGAGGTTTTTGTTCGAGGGTTTTTCACCGTGTATACGTGGGGTACCACTATGACTGAAAGTGCACACAGAGCTGAACAAAAACCTCCAGTCTACTCTAATCTTTCTGTTTACTCTCAGAAACATCCAGAACAAACAAATGAACAACAAATAAACAACAGGTAAACAACCAGACACAGTAAGGTATTCAGGTGAGTCATCAGCTCATTCTTTGTATTCTTACTAAACATTGTCTGACTGCTGCTCTGATGTCGATTTGTCTGACATTATCCAAAGAGAATTTATGCGTATGTATGCATTTGCATTTTAACCAGCTGTTTGACTCGTCTGTTTTAACCCGTATGTCATGACTCGTCTGTTTAAACTTGGACGTGGAGCCTCACCTGTTTTAACTCGCCTCTTTCTACAGGTCTGTTTTAACTCACCTGTTTCTATACATCTGTTTTAACTCGCCTGTTTCTACAGGTCTGTTTGAACTTGTGTGTTTTAACTCGTCTGTTTTGACTTGTCTCTTTTGACTCGTCTGTTTTAACCCACCGGTTTTGACTGGCTTGTTTTAACTCGTCTATTTTGACTGGCTTGTTTTAACCCGTCTATTTTGACTCATTTGATTTGACTCAACTGTTTTGACTCGTCTGTTTAAACTCTGTTGTTTAAACTTGTCTGTTTTTGACTTATCTGTTTTTACTCGTCTGTTGTGATTCGTCTTTTTTGACTCACTTGTTTTAAATCGTCTGTTTTGACTCGTCTGTTTGAACCTGTCTGTTTTTGACTCGTCTGTTTTGACTCGTTTGTTTTGACTTGTCTGTATGAACCTGTATGTTGTGACTCGTCTGTTTTAACGCCTCTGTTTTGACTCGTTTGTTTTAACTTGTCTTTTTTAACTCGCCTGTTTTGACTTGTTTGTTTTAACTCGTCTGTTGTGACTTGTCTGTTTTAACTAGTCTGTTTTGACTCGTCTGTTTTAACTTGTATGTGGAGCCTTGCCTGTTTCCTGCAGCTCTGAGGTTTTTGTTCGAGGGTTTTTCACCGTGTATACAGTGGGGTACCACTCTGACTGAAAGTGCACACAGAGCTGAACAAAAACCTCCAGTCTACTCTAATCTTTCTGTTTACTCTCAGAAACATCCAGAACAAACAAATGAACAACAAATAAACAACAGGTAAACAACCAGACACAGTAAGGTATTCAGGTGAGTCATCAGCTCATTCTTTGTATTCTTACTAAACATTGTCTGACTGCTGCTCTGATGTCGATTTGTCTGACATTATCTAAAGAGAATTTAACTCAGTGTGTGTTTCTGTCTCTTACAGCCTGGTGTGTGTGTTTCTGTCTCTTACAGCTCGGTGTGTGTCCATGAAAAGTGGATTTTTTAACTTTTGGAGCCTCTGTGAGGATGATCAGCAGCTCTGAGGTTTTTGTACGAGTCTGTAACACTGTGATGCTTTGCTGTTTGGAAAAGGAATACGTCTCAAAGTCCAACCTACAGGTAAGAAAACACTCTTTATACTTTAAAACTGGACCGTATTTACACTTTAAAAAGGCTGGGAATACAAGGGAATATGTTTTATGTTTAAAAATGTAATTTGATGGATTAGTGGAAGAGAGCTTCAGCTGACATCCTTAAGAAATCATTCAGGGTAAAAAAAAAGAGACCAAAAATGCATCCTAGTACAACTTAAACTAAAACTAAAACTATGTTTTCATTTAGTTCAAAACCTGAAATGATCACCGATTCAGTTATTGCAATGTTTTTAAATCCTAGACGTCTTTTATCGTGTGTTATAATGAAGTATAAAATAATAAAAAGTTGCAGGTATCAAAATAGAAAAAATTGTAACGTTGACTTACTGCAGCTCAATTTATATATGAAAAATATCAAACCATCAGATGTTCAGTCATATTTTAAACTAAAAGCTGCCGCGAGCAAAAAGAGAGAGCAGTGCTGGTTCTTTAAAATTCAAGGGTCAACAACTTCTGATGTTCCTCAAGTTCTTACGCTGTTTCATAGAGATGCAAAAGTTACATTTATATCTGACAGCACTCATTAAAAACAAAGAAGTCATTATAAGCACATCGACTTCATCAGACAGGCGTGCCTAAATCTGAATTAAATCATTTAAAATTCTGAGAAATGGACAGAAACCAGAGCAAGAAATCCTCTGAAGTGTCTAAAAGTCATTCAATGTCTTGAATATACGGATTTAAAGGTTTTAAAAAATAAGAGTCAACAAAATTTTTTAGATGTTAAAATCTCTCTTGACAGCCCTTTTTGTCATAAATAAAAAGCAGAATGCAGACTGTTTAAAAAAAAAACAATTGACGAACAGAGATTTTAATTTGTTGTTTTAAACGCAGAACTGCCAAAAAAACTTCAATCAATAAAAGGTGAATGAAAAACTGTTTTACAGTTATAGATGAACTTTAAGTTGAAGCCAAATAAATAAAACGATAACTGTTTTAATTCTTAATCCCAGCTGGTTTCTAACTCGCTGTTCACAGCTAATGTTAATGTTTAAAATGCATTCAAGAGAATAACTAAATGATAAAACATTTAAATGGAAACTTTTAGATCGAAGCCAACTCTGAAGTGAAATAATGTTTTAAGGGCTTTTAAGTATGATTGAAATATTTTTAGTAGTGTGAATGAAATCATGTGAAGTCTGAGTTAAAAGAGTCAAATGATCTCGATAAGTCATCTAAACAAATTGAGAATGTATAAAACTGTATCATCTGCATATCGAATGATGTTGCTTTTATACACAAACCATGTAGGTCAAAGTTTAAGTAAAAACAAATCTCGAAAAATGTTATGACTTAAGTGCTTTTAAGTACGATTAACATGTGTAATTCTTTAATTTCCCACAAATGATGTTACAGTCTCATATTAACCTGCTGTTTAAGAAAAACAAAAAGTGTAAATTAAATCATGTGAATTTTGAGTTAGAAGAGTCAAATGATCTCGACAAGTCTCCTGAACAAAATGAGATCGTATAAAACTGTGTCATCTGCATATCGAATTATATTATTTTCATAAACAACCTTGTAGGTCAAAGTAAATAAAATCTATTAAAACCTTATGGCTTAAGTGCTTTTAAGTAAGATTACAGTTTTCAATGTCCCACGAATTATGTTTTATTCTAACACTGCTGTGTCGTAAACTTTTTTTTTTTTAACATCAGTAACCATTTATATAAACTAAAGTGTGATGAAGTTATTTTGTACAAGAAATCTATTTTAGAGTAACTTTAAATGTGATAAGAAGAAATTTTATCTTTAAGAGAAGAATGAAAAGTTACTGGAGAAGTTTTTAATTGCACTTAAACCAGAAAAGAGTTTTTAAAAGTCCTCAACCGTTCCTAAACACGTCGATGCTGATGAATGTTGTGAGAATTTAGTCATTTTAAAATCAATCAATCAATCAATCAATCAAAGTCATTTTAAAATGGCCTTAATAATTTTTGTATCGAGCAATGAACTGTCATGATTGGTTTGCAGTTTCCCTTTTGTGGAAAAACAACTTTAATAGAACTGTTAATGTGATAAAGATACCATTATTAATTAGGTAAAGTTTAACATAGGGTTAATCGTATAGTGCTTAACTTCAGTCCCGTAATAGTTTAAATTCAATCTTTTGAAATGTGAGTTAAAAGAGTCAAATGATTTCAACAGCTCATCTGAACAAATAGAAACATATAAAACTGTATCATCTGCATATCGAATGATGTTATGTTTTTAAACGACCCTGTAGGTCAAAGTTTAAGTAAAATTAAATCTCGTAAAACCTTATGACTTAAGTGCTTTTAAAAACTATTAAAATATTTAATTTCCCACAAATTACGTTGTATTCTTAAATTTGTCTGCTGTGACTAAAACAGAAAGCATTTTAACATCAGTAACAATAAATATTAAGTGAAGTGTGATGAAGTTATTTTGTATGTAAAAAGAAGAAATTAAATATTTAAGAGAAGAATTATAAGTCACTAGAGGGGAAATAATCAAAGTTTGGAATTCACTGTATCATCAAATGTTGCATTTATTACACGTCCTTGTATGTCAAAGTTTAAATACAATTCAAATCTATTTAAGTTTTTTAAATGTTTGAATGTTTGAATGACTGTAACAGTGAGAAGTTTATTTTTGACTATACTAAATGTTAAAATATTCCAAACTAAAAAAAGGGGTGCAGGTTGCCAGGCGGTTAGTTTGTGAGCCCCATGTATGGAGGCTTAAGTTCTTGAGATCGGGCGGCCTGGGTTAGAATCCGACCTGTGGCTCCTTTTTTCGCTCTCTCTCTGACTCTATCCACTGTCCTGTCTCTCCAATAAAGACATAAAAAGCTCAAAATAAATAAAACTAAAACTGCTACAGGACTTTATAATCAAAATATTTTTCTAAAAGTCTTTGAAATATGGCTTCTCATCGTCTTTCACTGCTGAAGAATGAAATTCATTAAATAAGTCTTCTTAAGCTTTTAGTGCTATTATACCTTCTACCGCTTTATTGTGGACATCTGTTTAAGTATTAAATCATTTACTTAAACAAATTCTAAGGAAACTATTTCAAACAGACACGGGTTAACTGTCAGAGAACTTTTTAAACAGCAGAAAACTTAAAGTAGCCTCAAATAAATATGATTTTGAGTTGTTTTAGTTTCATGTAAATGTACATACGTGTGAACCACCAACCTGCAGAGGGACTGCAGATGGACATGAGCCTGGCTCGTGGACAACATGTAGTCTTCTCAGCCTTCAGTCTGTTGGACAGTTAAAACCATAAAATCTGCTCCTCTTCTGTGATTTGTGTTGATTTCATTACCATCCTCGACTCCCTGAAGTCTAGCAGCAGACGTTGAAGGACCAACATGTCTAACATGTCACTGTCTATCACAGAGAACGTTTATCCTCTGCTGGGCCGGACATTTATTTTATTTTATTTTACCTTTATTTTACCAGGCAAGAATTGCTTGAGATCAAATGACCTCTTTTTCGAGCAAGGCCTGGCCAAAAACTTAAAGAGTGTATCCGCTTCTTCAGGCACCACTACACCACTACCAATGTTTAAAGGTCCCATATTATACCATATTATATTTAGAACAAGAAACTTCACAGACATATTTTGAGGAGCTCTGAGAATTATTTAAACTGGTTGAAGAGGAGGAGAATATTTGACCTTTAAAGCTATTTGAAAATAAACATTTTGTCGGCCTTAACCGGTGGTTACCAAATACATTACTAAAATGATATTATGATTTGTTTGCTGTTGTGTTCCTCTGTGGTGTTTCAATATCAGGGTTTGGATATTGTATATTATATTGGCAGTAGGGGGGTCCTGAGTCCCTAGCGTGCTTTTTTGGGGGTTGGTGCGCTCAAAAGTCTGGGAAGCCCTAGCCTAAAACATTCTTAAAATAAACTCAACTTTATTATCGGAATATTTTGATTTGTTGTCTTTTCTTTTCTCCTCATGGTCTTCATTGAAAACTTGATTATAAAATCATAAAAGCGTGTCCAGTGAGATGTTTACGATTGATAAATAGAAGTGTCGTACGTAGTGTTTTTATTCACTTTCACAAATCCTCGTCCTCAGTCCGTTTAAATCTGCTCTATAACGTTCTTCCATCGTGTTCAGTTCCGCCCCCTGTGGAGTGGTTCGTCCCTGGCCCTCTGCAGCCTGATGGGGTTCCCCTGGACCAGATGGTGGCAGAGGTGTGCCAGAAGAGGACGCATCCGACTGCCGTGACCACGACCACCCCGCGAACCTACGCCGTTGAAACCACCGTCTCCTATAAACTGAACGACGCCTCCACCAACAACACCAAAGGTGAGGTAACGCTCCGTGCTGTGGTCAGGTGAACACGGATTTAAATCCTCAATAAATTTAATCTGATAGCTGTCTTTTATTTGGCTTTTTAATTCAATTAAAAATGTTTTTGATGTTAAAACGTTTATATTTTTAGGTCAACATTATTGTCCTTGAGGGTAAATTTGTGTCTCTCGCCCTCGGACGACCTCAATGATAGTGATGATGAGGATGATGATGATGATGATGATGACTATGATGATGATATTTAGGATGGTTTTGATGCTGATAAGAACTCTCAATAACAGCTGTCCATGTTGAGCTCTGCCTCTGGTCACTTCTGTCAGCACCTCTGATCACTTCCTGTCAGCTCCTGTGTGTCCGATCAGACTTAAAGCTGTTTGTTTGCACTTCCTGTCATTCTCTCCTTGCTTGTGTTGTTCTTACTCTCTGATGTTCGTCACTTTGGATAAAAGCGTCTAATACATGAATTGTAAAGTTGAAAAATTTGTATTCATCGATCATCTACTAGTTTTTATATCAGGGTTTTAAATACAATTCATTCAATTAAAAGCACTTAGAAAAACATCTTTTACAGCACATATCATTTCATCACAAATAGATGGTTTATATACTTTTCATCAGTTTGTCCCAGGTTGGTGGGCCGCAGGTTTTACCCCGGAGGTCCTGGGAGACGGGAGCATTTTTTAACAATAAGCTCCTGCTGTCTCACCTAGTCAGAGGTCCAGCAAACCATGGATTTTAACTACATTTTAAATGAGGCCTTTTATAAACCCTTCAGGGTTCTTCAAGACATTTCAAGTATTTCTTAATCCCCTCAGTCCCAGAGAACCCATGCCCTCATTCTTAACTGAAACCTAACCCTGTACTGAAATGATCCAAACACATAAACTTTGTTTAACTTAGATTAAATCTAGTAGCAAAAAATGGAACCAATACTAAAACTTAAATCCGGTGAATCCAGGTAATAATAGGTCAGACAGGGCTTTGATAAAGTTCATAGAATAGAATAAATGTTCATTGCCATTTGCACAGGTACAGGACAGTACAGGTACATTGGAATTCTTGTGCGTTTCTCCCTGAGTCAGCTTCTACAAAAAAAGTTAAAATTATATATAAAATAGACTAGCATTGTAAGAAAAAAGTAGAAAAAAGTAAAAGTAAAAATAAACAAGTTGTATTAATAGCTAAGTAAATTAAAATAAACTGTACAGAAGTTATACACTGAAATATCATGAGCTGTTTTCTCTGTGTTCCTGACTGTCGTGTTTTCTGTTCCCACCATCCAGCCGACACCTGTGACGACCTTCAACCAGGTGAGCCACCAAACACACTTGAACACCTCAGCTGTTTTTTTTTACATTGTGTTTCAGGGTTAGCCCGTTCTAAGGATGTCAAAATATTAAATACTACAGCCACCATATAATCTCTGCATGTTATTTTAAAGATCAATAGTAAAACATTTACACACCTGTCTGGTATTGTGACGACCCTAGCCAGAAGTCACAGATCGATGTTCAGTGAAATCAGACTGAACTTGTTTAATTTCCTTTTTTTCACAGAGAAAGCCAAACTGAACTTCCTCCTGCTGCTGATGAACGGAGTCAGAGTGGTGTTCACGAAAACGGTGGCCTTCAGCACCCTCCTCACCATCAGAGCTGTCTTCGCCTAACAACCGAGCGACTCTTTGTCAAAGTGTTAGTAAATTCAGGATGAGATCAAGTTGATGATGGATCATGTGAGGCCTGCAGAACGGTCACTGCGCTCACTGTCACATTTAGATTAATATGAAAACATCATCATTCTTCAGTTCATGTTTCAGAATCAGCAGCACATGAAAATGCTCTGAAATCACACGAATGCAACACATTTTCACCAAAAACAATTATTTTAGTTTTTTAAAAGCAACAATCTGTAACTTCTCATGCTTCAAACAGTCATTTTAAAGTCTGTCTAATAGAACAATAACCTCCAACAGGGAGAATGCTGTCTCTCGTGTCCACAGAGCTCGCCTGTTTTCAGCACTATGTAACTTTGGCCGTGGGCCGAGGTCATCTGGTGAGATGTGTGTACGTCACTAGTTCACCAGCCTTCAGCTACAGAACACCAGTTAGCCCATATCTTCTCTGTTTGATACAAAGGCTGAGGCTAACTGCCAATGTCCATCAGCGACGCACACTTCTGTTGGGCCACAGTTACTCCAATGGAAATACGCGGACCGATGAACATTGTTAATGTTATTTCTACATTTTTTTTGGCAGAGAGAACTCAAATGATTCCTCGTCAGCCTCGACATCATCTTTTCTTATTGTATTGATTGAGAGCCCCCTGGTGGCGGAATCTACATACTGTGCCTTTAATATTTTCAACGATATTTAGGCAATAGGCTGGTTTCATGAAAAACCTACTTGTAGTGATGTTTATATTTCAGGTTCAGGTTGTTCTGCAGCCACCAAGATGATTCATTATTACACAAATACAAAACACATCAGGGAAAAATAAAACAATATAAAAGTGCTCGATTGTTTCCACCAATAAGGACATATAAGAGAAAGAAAAATCAATACATGTAATAAATGAAAAATAATAAAGTTGTTTGTATTAATCTCGTCTTTGGCATTGAAAATGTAGGGTTCCTCAGGGTTTAATTCTGGGGCCCATTTTTTTATGTTTAATTCATTCAGTCAAGCATAGAGTTAGATGTTACACAGACGATACTCAGACTTATATCTCAGTCATCTCAATGACATGTTCTAATTATTTAACCTGTCTGTTCTCAAAACAACCTTTCACTCATTAATAAATACTTTGACTTGAACTGAAATGTTTTCTTCATTCAGCTTTCTGTCTGTACATGGTATATTTTTCTCTGTCGGTTTTTCAGTTTGAGTTTCAGTTGAAACCACATTTCATCAGAAACCATCCCAACAGTCAAACCTGAAAGAGGCGATAAAGATCAGACAGGAACCAGGCAGACGCTCAGTTTCACTTCAACAGAACAGACTTTAGTTGAACCATCAGCTCCGTCTGTTCACTGAGGGATTACTGAGAGGTTTTACAATCCGTCTGTTGGTTTGTAAATTGTTTATCAAACAGATCACACTGTGCTGGCTGAAGGAAACACCTCTAAATCTCTGAAAATTAAAAAAAAGGAGTTCCACAGGGCTTGGACCACTGATATTCACACTTTATTTTAACAGCATTGGTTGTAATGTTTCTAACACAAGTTCTATTCATATGCGGATGATACTGTTATTTATTGCTGTGCTTCTACACAGCATGAGACTCTCCGTTACTTACAGGAGACCTTTTTTACTGTACAGGACACACTATATGAGCTAACTCATGATGTCTACAAGCTCAAACCTGCCTTCTGTTGTTACATCTAAGGCAGATGTGACTGAGTCTGTATCATTTTATAAATACCTCAGATTTAGGATACGCTGTCTTTTAAGCTTCCTATTTGGGAGCTTGAAAAAAAGTTAAAGTTTCAGCTGGGTTTCTATTTTCGAAATTAGTCTTCATTTTGTTTTGGTGCAAAAAAACAACTTGTTGCTACTTATATGCCCCTGATGGATTAAGTCGCTGTTCTGTGTACCCGTATGCACGCGTTTTCTCAATGCCTTCACTCTTAGTGAATACCATGGAGCATTGAGTTTCATGACTAATCTGAAGTCCCTAACTGATCATTGTGCTCTGTATGATTGAGTTGGCTGTCCTGCATTGAACACTCAAGATACCAAATCATCATTTAATAATAATAATAATAATTATACATTTTATTTGTAATGCACTTTATATTTTTGGCAAAAATCTCAAAGTGCTACAGAGTTAAAAATAAAAACAATAACATCAATAACAAACCATGGGGATAACAATAGGAAAGCAGCTAAGCAAACTATAAACACTAGGAAAAGGCTCTGTTAAAGAGGTGGGTTATAAGGGCTCTTTTAAAAGCGTCCGCAGACTGTGGCGCCCTCAAGTGGTCAGTATTAAAATAGTTTTCCTCCATATCCACAGTAACACCGTTCTCTGATGTGCCCGTGTGTTCTCACCAGCTGATCTCAGATGGGATGTCTTGACTCTGGCTCCGCCCCTCTCTAGAGGCGTCTCTCCATGAGCAAGCACAGAAAAATGCAGAAGTACAGGTTGTAGTTTGAATCGGCCCGTACATGAGCAGGAAGCTTTCCTCACAGTTAACACTGAGGGAGTGACATATTGTTCATTTACATATAATATCTCTACTGTAGTGATACACAGCTGGTTAAACATCTGCACATTTCCCCTTTAACTAACAGCAAGCTAACGATACGTCACCACGTCATCAGGCCTGTAACAGGGTCTGTTATACACAGATTAAATATCTCTGGTGTGACAAGTCTGAACATTGAAGGCAGATTTTGATTCATAACAAAGATGTTGTTTTTGTTTGTTTTAGTTTGTAGCTTCAGTTTTTGGGTCCACAGTTTCCTGATTTTCTCCTGAAGATCTGAGTCCATGTTGGTCTGCATGGAGGAGATTTGGGACATTTAGAGGAAGATGTAGCCCCTACAAACATGCATGTCCAGCAGGGGGCAACTCCATTTGTTGTAAAAACAAAAAAAACATTTGTTTTACCTCTGACAAAGATTGAAGTCTATGGCTGTGTCACATACTCACATACAGTCTTTAAAATCTTCAGTGGGAGTTTTTTGGCCAAAATGTGGCCTTTTTAATCATAAATCAGACAGTTCAGTGTTCTCACCAACGAGGATACCAACACAGTCTGTCTCGGCGGTGTGTCAAGAGAGGAAACTGTGAGCGGCTTGTATCAGGTGGACACACTGGTCAAAATCCCCACTATCACTAAGGTAATGCATGTCAATATTTACATGACTCGTAGTGAGACTTCATGGGGCATCTTTTCCCTCTGAGTTTCAAAAAATACTACTGTAGTGCAATACAATGTTACACCCAAATGTTTATTTACTCTTATTTTACTTTCCCCCGGTGTAATTGAAAGACATGCTTGTCATACAGATAGGACCAAATTACACACGTGCACAAACAGGATCTATGGACATGCATTAATGGAGAGATGTCAGAGCTGGGCTGATACATAGAGAGCGTGCCAGAGCTGTTGGGAGGGTTAATGTCTTGCTCAGAGGTACCTTGGCAGTACTCAGGAAGTGACATGGCACCTCTCCAAATTCCAAGCGTTGGTCTGCAGAGACTCAGACTTTGTCTGACAATGAAGTCCAATAGATCAATGTGAACACTAGTGTCCATTTGTAATTGTAAAAATGCTGTTTTTTTCAGGTACAGGCAGATCCCAGTCTCTCCTCCTCCAGTGGTTCAAACTGGAGTATTGTTGTTGGTGATAAGATGGTTAGCTTGTTTTGATCGGAGTTATCAAACCATACTGCTGCTTCTTCACTTTGGTCATCTCAGTAAGTTCCTCTCGTCTCATTGTGTTAGGTCTGTTTTTTGAGTCCATACCTTAGTTTTCATCTTGTTGATTTAAAATTATATTAAGTTGACCTCTTTTATAGGCTTAGTTCTTATAATTTGATTTGTTGGTTTTCTATTTTGGGTAAAATAAAAACCCACCTTTATTTAAACAGTGAAAGACACAGGATTTTTTTTTTTCTCTTCAACTGTTGGATTTTTTTTTTGTTGTTTTCTACCATGTTCCCCCTGAAAAGAAGACAAATGCATCATGGCGGTAAAAGTGGAAGGTACAGAGGAGGGCCTGCCAGCCCAGTGAATACCCAGGAAAGGCATGCCAGCGATGAAGAGGAAGAAAATGGAGCTTCTGGGGTGGTAGGAATCACTGAGGGTGAACTCTGTCAGACCTGACACTTTAAAAGCACTTCAACATCAGTTTCAGCTTCTGCAGTTAGAAGTTCAGGCCAGAACAACTCCAGTACCTGATCCTCAGTTTTCAGACTCTGACCCTTCAGGGCTTCATCCTCTAATTCCGCATTGTTTTTTACATCAAGTCTTACCTCGGGAGACCCCCCACTCCCGTCTGACAGGGATAGTCTCCCGCTGTGAGGAGCATGTATGAACAGCCAGGTCAAGAGAATCTCTGGAGCAGTCCTCCTGTAAATATCTAGATATTATCCGGAGTGCAGATGTGAAGAGGATGATGTAAAGAGATGTTACAGGGGAACTCATGGGATACGACTGTTCATATCTACTTTTAAGAGTAAAGTACTCATGTTGTAATGTTTAACATTTATAAAGCAAATGGACTGTTAAAAACAAAGTGTAAAACGTTAAGGTTCAGGTGACAAAGTGACATTTGTCCCAATTAACTTTGTTTACGTTACTTTCACTAATGTTATAAGTGCCACTGTGGGGATGCGATAAGTTATAATTAGTTTACACGTTTTATTTAAGAATGGAGATAATGCTTTGTGGTGTATAAATGAATCAAACTGTATTTGAATATATCTTTTCGGCCTCGTCTATCTTATACGTTTATCACTGATGTTTTTCCGACTGCATTGTAAGCTGGTTTTGGCTGAAATCATTCTAATTGAACTGACTTTGACAGGAAAGTGTGGATTTCTTCATGCTGGAAAAATGAGCCAGATCCAGAGCTGATCCGCGCCACAGTGGAGAACAGTATCCTGCCTCGTGACGAGCTTCTTCGACAGCATATCAAGGTAAGACAACACCACTGCTAGAACATTAACCCTTGTGCCCTCCGCAAATGTTTTTATATTTTTCTGCTGTGAAGTTAAACAGCTTCCCACTTGCTCAAAACTACCAAACATTCAATTATTATCAGTATTGTAACCCTTCAGATGCTAGGTTATTAGTTGAATAGTGATTAGAGTCTTGGATATGTGAAAGACTAACAAAGTTGATTTGATTGCATTAGTCTTTTTAAAGGTCCCATATTATGATGTTTTTTCTGGTTTATATATGCCCAAGTGTCCTGTGCATGTTTAGTCACATCTATGTGCAAAAATTCAAAGTCCGCGGAAACGCAGCTTCTCCTACGTCCTCCTGTTAGCTGTAGCATTAGCCGCATGTAACGCTCGGTTCTAGCCCCCCTCGATAAAAATGTGTCAGTGTGACGTCATTGTCAGTGTGAGATCACTGATCTAAGCCCATTGGCTTGTTGTGGCCCTGCAGCTCATGTTGAAATTTGAGAGAAGCGTGCTGAGCAACTGACCAATAACGACAGAGCGGATCGGCAGACCAATCAGAGCAGACTTGGCCCACGTGGGGTCTAACAGTGTGGGCTCAACAGAGTGCAGCTGACGGACTCAGAGTGTAGAGGGAGCAAGGAGGAGCAGTACATGAAAACAGACACTTTTTTCGGACTTTATCTATTGTGAACGTACAAAAGTAGGAACATAGATTAAATATACAAACCCCAAAAAAGGCAGAATATGGACTCTTTGATGTACCCTCTGGGAACCTTCATGGCCAAAATGTACACACAAAATCTGCAATAAAATCATAAATTTTTTTCTTTTGTATAAATTGATGTTTTTTGTTTTCTTTGGACGGGAGGGAAAGACGGAAAGATCTAGGCTGTGTAAACATATTTAAATGAAATCAATAGTGTGTGACTGTTGAAATGCTTTCCTGTGATGCATGCAATGAAAGAACAGCCGTTCGAAAAGAGAGGTACCAACCGACATTTTCAACACTTTTCTCCTCCTACTGATGACAATCCTGACAGAACTTGACTTTTTAAAAATCTTCATCATGATGTTTTTTTTTTTTTTTCACTTAAATTCTCTAAATTGCAAATAAATGACAGGACAGTCAGATAAATTCATGAGCCAGATAGAAGCAGCTGATTACGTTTTTGTTTTTTTAAACTGTAACGCTGGCCTCACACCTCAGACTCCTCAGGCACATTTTTAACTTAATATGAATCACTTTTCAAAGTTGGAACACTTTCAATTAGTTGAGGCGGCATAAACGTATAATATTGAGTTCACACAAAAAAGTCAAAATAACACAAAATTCTAAGTTAGTTTTACGATGATAATAAATTATGATTAAATGTTAAAGGTTGATATAGACAGCTTATTCATTTAACCAAAACACAAATGTTTCATTTTATCTCTTGTTTTGCGTTTTTCTTTATCCTCCTGCCTGTTTATTTTGTAGTTCAAAGTCTAATATAAACACAATGTTTTAAAAAATCCAGCTATTTTGATCATTATTGAAAACACGTGGGCTGCTGGGTCCTCTGTTTTTAACGAAATCGTTCTATATTGAAGCTATATTTAAGCTAGGTTAGCACCACAGGCCGTAGGCTACAGGTGGTGAGATATGTTGTATTCTGTTAGAAACTGATAGTCTGCAATGTGAGTCATGTCTGCTTTTCTAATATATTTAAGTGAACAGTAAATCAATTGTTTTTTGTATCTTCATTTAGGCAAAGAAGAGATAAAAGCAGCTGGTCTGACATCTTCCACAGAGGTGAAGTGTAAGTTAAAATCATCTGTTAAAAGTTTATATCCTGTGATTGTTTTTAAGTTTCATAAGAGGATTGTCAAAACAAGCTATTGTTAACAATACAGTCTTCTAAAATAAAAATCACACTGAGTCATACACCAGCTAAATGTTAAATAGAAAGGTGATGTTTTCTTTTCCATTTTACAATCAACAGAATCTAAAAATGACTCATTTCAACCTTCATCTGCACACCTGTTCCAGAGGTCAGGCTGGGGTCACAGAGTTTGAAGGAACCTCCTCCTTTTATCACCTGTGCCAGATGCCCTGCTCATCCACTGTGGGAGAAATGACCTTACACCAGCAGCTCTCCCAGATGAAGAGTCCTCTCTGCCATCACCCAGAGGAGCTGATCGATGTCTGAAGAAGGTGGACAGAGTCTGGAGCTTTGTGACAGTGAACAGTGAGAAGGCTACCATAGTCATCCTCAGATAAAACACAGAGATCCTGGCCTCCTCTTCCTCTTCTAGAAACTGGTGAAGCTTCTTAAACTGCTCCTTAATCTGCCTCTCTGTGTGTCGGGCCTGGACCTGAATGTGTTCTGCTGTTTGATCAAACTTCACTTTAACTTGTTCACAAACATTTAACTTCTTCTTTACCGGCTCCAGAGTTTCCTGAAGTTTCTTCTTGTGTTGTCCAGCAGCTTCATCGATGGGTCTGATTGTGTGTTTGCTGTGTTTTTCTCAAGTAATGCAGACGACACACACCGGCTCCTGATGGTCCAGACAGAAGAGATTGAGTTTGTCAGAGTGCAGACTGCAGAGATCCTCTGAAGCTCTCTGATCTCTCTCCTGCACAAAACTCTCACACAGGTTCTGTAAAGCAAAGTAAGGAGGTACTCTTTTCTTTGACTGTTTTCTACAAACTGGACACTGGGCTGGCTCTGCAGACAGTCTTTACAGAAGCTGTGGAAGCAGGAGAGGATGACTGGATCTTTAAAGATGTCGAGGCAGACAACAGCACAGATCTTCCTCTAACTTGGACGCCATTTTATCTCAGAGTCAAGCTGAAGATGCAGCAGAAGAAAACAGGAAGCCACTCCTCGTCCCTCAGAGTTACTTTCACTTTGATTGTTTTTCTTTGAAACTCATGTTCAGTTTGTGGATTCAGTAGCAGGCTGAAGTGTTTGTATTCCCAGTATCCCAGTATAACAAGTACTCCCAGTATCCCCTCCTCCTCCTGTCCTCTCTCAGTGGAAGTCGTGCTGGTTTGTGTCTGCAGGTCGGTCCGTCTGTCAGCGTGTGTGTCTCTTCAGAGTGAGGCAGAATAACAGCCTGTTTCCTGGTTTGTCTCAGGTGAGACAGGTGAGGGGGCGGAGCTTCTTCGGAGCAGGAATCCAGTCTCATTTCTCTTCCTGCAGCTTGAAGGGTAATCTCAACACAATCTTGTTGTTATTAGTTCCACTACATCGCTGTCACAATTTGTGACGTCAGCCTGAAGATAGAAGAACACCTGGAAGGTTTTATATCACTAAACGTGAACTTCAAACGTCTGCAGCCTCACCGGAGATTAACAATGATTTTTAATCATGTATGTGGTGGCTGTGGCTCAGTTGGTAGAGTTGTCGTCTCTCAACTGGAAGGTCGATGGTTCGATCCCCAGCTGGGTAACATGTCCGATGTGTCCTTGGGCAAGACACTTCACCCCCTGAATTGCTCCCGCTGCTTCGGTCGGGGTGTATGAATGGGATTAGTTACTTTTGATGGATGATACTACACAGAGACCACTACCATTAAACATCTAGATTATGAAGTATTAAAGTCAAACATAACAGAAGTGGTCTTCCGTCTGGCAGCAGATTCAGCCTGACAGGGATGATGAAGGCAACCTTTGACCTCACAGGGATGATGAAGACAACCTTTGACCTCACAGGGATGATGAAGACAACCTTTGACATCTCACAGGGATGATGAAGACAACCTTTGACCTCACAGGGATGATGAAGACAACCTTTGACCTCACAGGGATGATGAAGACAACCTTTGACATCTCACAGGGATGATGAAGACAACCTTTGACCTCACAGGGATGATGAAGACAACCTTTGACCTCACAGGGATGATAAAGACAACCTTTGACCTCACAGGGATGATAAAGACAACCTTTGACCTCACAGGGATGATGAAGACAACCTTTGACCTCTCACAGGGATGATGAAGACAACCTTTGACCTCACAGGGATGATAAAGACAACCTTTGACCTCACAGGGATGATGAAGACAACCTTTGACCTCTCACAGGGATGATGAAGACAACCTTTGACCTCTCACAGGGATGATGAAGACAACCTTTGACCTCTCACAGGGATGAAGACAACCTTTGACCTCACAGGGATGATGAAGACAACCTTTGACCTCACAGGGATGATGAAGACAACCTTTGACCTCTCACAGGGATGATAAAGACAACCTTTGACCTCTCACAGGGATGATGAAGACAACCTTTGACCTCTCACAGGGATGATAAAGACAACCTTTGACCTCACAGGGATGATAAGACAACCTTTGACCTCACAGGGATGATAAAGACAACCTTTGACCTCACAGGGATGATAAAGACAACCTTTGACCTCACAGGGATGATGAAGACAACCTTTGACCTCACAGGGATGATGAAGACAACCTTTGACCTCTCACAGGGATGATGAAGACAACCTTTGACCTCACAGGGATGATGAAGACAACCTTTGACCTCACAGGGATGATGAAGACAACCTTTGACCTTTGACCTTGGTGCTTCTTCTGGTTTATAAATCCTATAATCGTTCCTGTTCGCCTTTCAAAATTAAAAACTGTAAAGTCTTATAATCGTATCTTTTAACTTCATCTAAAGTCATTTAGGAGAGACAAGTAAATGATTCAAAGACATATATTAATTTTTCATGTGATATTGAATGATTGTCAGAGAATCTTTGGTGCATGAAGTCTACAGGGAGATGAAAATGGTTGATGGTGTCATATGAGGCTGATGGGATGAAAGTTGATCTAACTGAAGATGGGAAAGGCTGAAGATGTCATCTGAGGATGAAGAGGCTGACCAAACTGTGCAGACCGGAGTTGACCAGACGGTGGCTGTCGCTGTGATCTGAGACTGATATCGCAATGATGGCATGAATGAATTAGTGGAAGAGAGAAAAGACAGCAGCAATATGATAGGCTTACAATGAGGGAGTGGAGCATGGCTGTTGGATTGATGTGACCAGCTGATGGTTACGAAAAAAGGAGTGAACATGCGTGGAGAAGCTATGTCACACAGTATGAGAATAAATAATTAAATGAGCGTGCAGAATATAGTCTCCCTGACTGAACTTGCTAGAGCTAAGTGTAACTTAATTTACCAGAGTATAAAACCCTCTGAGTTATAGAGCAACCGGTCGTTTCCTCTGAGATGCATTTGTGTTTTTTTAGGTCACAGGTGAGTTCTGGTTCAGAAACAGGTCACATCAGCTCTCCTCTTTCCTTCCTGTTTTCTCCAGAAGCTATAAATGAACTTTTTGTTTTTGGAGGAGTTTTAATCTGAGAGGAGATGTGAACCTGATCAGAAGCAGCAAACATCTCATCGACAGGTACGACAGCTGTTGCCTGTCGGGCTACACGGTTGAGTTAGGATAGGATAGGATAATACTTTATTGATCCCCAGAGGGGAAATTCGGTCGTTGATTCGAGTTTTGTGGGCCAAGAGGGGTCGGGTAGGTAATATCTGCATCATCACCACCTGGAGCATGCATGTACCAATCCTGGGTCTGTTGATGGTGGCAATGCTGTTTTAGTTGCGGTGGTGACTAATGGCCATAGGGAAGGTTGTGTAACGTATCAGTAGGACATCGGGGCTTGACCGGAGCGATGGGTGTCTTCACTGAGCGCTGATCCTTTCATTAGGGCACAGGTATCGTTTGATTATTTAAACTCAGGAGTAAGAAAACATCCTGTATAATTTTTCTTCCGTATTCATCACCATAACGTGCAGATATTTGTAAGTGTTTCTGCAAGTTGTTTCCTGCAGTAAACATGTTGCAGTCGCGGCTCTGAAATGTCCTCACTCATCGCTATTCATGGTCGCAGAATGTTAATCTTGGATTTTACGACAATATCGACACCTGTTTGATACAACGGCGAGAAGAATAGAAGTCCTAGACGCCCAGTGGGTTTTGAATGATTCTAAACTGCTGAAAAGCTTCCACACGGATGTTTTTGTGAAAGTGTGAAGGAGGTTTCTGGTAGATCCATTCCTCTCTTGCTCACCGGTCTGGGAACGCAGATGTTGTTCTTCAGTACTTTTGATACCATCGATCATTAAGATAACAGATTGCATCATTTTAAAACATGTATCAAGAAATATCAAAGTATTGAACGTTTTGACAACCTCAGTCAGCGCGAAGTGATGCATAGTAAATGAATCAGAGAAAAAGGTGTGAGGAGCAAGACGTTTAGAAACAAGATATACTTGTGTTATTCATTGTTTACTCGCTCCTCTACTTAACATCTGTGTTCAAGCCTCGCTCTGTGTCTGATTGTGTCTGAATGAATTAAAGAAAAACGTAAAACTTTACACTCTTTGTTTGTTTTGTAGGTCACCGCTTGAAGGAGGTGAAGTTTGAATGAGTGAGTCACCAGCCTGATATGGATTACGGGAAATGTTTCCTCCAGAACGGCCCCAAAATGGACGTTTTATTGTGAAAAGGTGGCCTAGTGAGACGTATTTAAGGTTGAGCCTGAAGGACACGAAGGACTGTGACGTCAGAGCTTCGGTGAGTTTATTAACAAAACAAAAAACCCGTAATTTAGACCGCAACATTAAGCATTTAGACAGTGTGCAGGAGTTAATCTACAATGTTCTTTTACACATTTCTTCTGAGATTGATCAGGTTCAGGTGACTTTATTTGCCCAGATGTAAATTTGTAATCGTCAAAAGAAAGCCAAATTTAAAACACGTGGTTACAAAAAGTTTTAATAATGTTGACAAACT